GACGAAGCTGCCGAAAGTGGAAAATCAGACTCTTAAATCTGCTATAGGAAACTGAAAATTTTTAGATTTTTAACGGTTTCTCATTTGACACCGGTTAGAAGCGGCTTAATGACACCGTCCTTTTGCTTCAGTCGCCTTGGAGACCATTTAAGCAGGTCATCGTTCCATTGTAAGTGACCACTTGCAGTTCATGGGTGCATTACCGCGTCGTGGGGCAGCTCTGAACAAAGGCCTGTTCGAACATCTGCAGATACACCACAGTCCGTAAGCGTATTTATAAAAAAAAGATTTCTAGATTTTTCTGAGGTTCTTCAATCGATCTGTGGTCCACGGCAGATAAAAAATCGGAACATTTCTGTTTTCAATGATTTACACGACAAATGGAAGCGTTTAAAGAATACTCACTATCCTGACGATGAACAGTTCGTACTTTATAGCATCGGGGTTCACAGAAATAGAGAATACAGCATTTCAAACCCCATAAATAACTCAGTTCTCTGACATTACAACTGCCAGAATCTTGACGTTTTTTTCTGAAGCGCGACATATTTTCGTTTGTTTGTTTTTGTACCTCAGATTGGTGTATTCATGCCTTACTCGTTCTATAAGTGAAGGCATGTGCCTTGTTTCCTCTAAATACATTATGTAAGGCAGGATTATATGATGGGATGATTAACTTGGCCTGCTGTTTTAGTTCTGGGAGGAGGAGTTACATTCGGATTTGTTTTAATTCTATGAGCGATTTGACTAAACATGTATTCAGAACTGCAGTTATTTGATTAATGATTTTCAAGTAGAAGGCGTTTCTGGTGAGGGTGATCAACGTATAAATAGAACGTAATTATGAAATGACATTTTTCGTTCTGTGCCCGGTGCTGAAATTGTACATGTTCTTTGAATTAATTATTGAGAGCACCAAACAACGCAGATATTAACACTGTTACGAACGCCTCTAGTTAAACGCTATTGGATGATAAAGGCACAGCTTATGTAGCAAGCAGCAAGCTTTACACGCTGAAAAATAGATCAGTTGATAATGAGTGACAGATTAATGCCAAATCTTAACCGGTATATTTGTAACTTAAAATTTAAGGGTTTAAATTCAACCACTCATTACACCGTTTCAGACTTTCGCATCAAATTTGTAATAACTGTCTATTTTTCGTTTAATACAAGAGGGAGAATATTCGTTGCACGTCCGATGCTTCATCGCGAAAATAGAATGGAACTCCAGTATCAAAATACCATGCCTTGAATGACCTCTGTCGGTTACAGATGCATTTGTTTGACTGAATGCGTGCCTTCCTGAGAGGGGACTCGTGCAATACCGAAGTTATCAGCCCTTTTTAGGTGGACTGCCGATAACTGCTTTTTACTCCGGTTGTATTGTTTCTGATGGGTCTTTCCAATGTATATCTAATCGCAGTCTCGGCATTCGACGATGTACACCACATTCAACATTGGAGTTTCTCGATGCGTACTTATTGAATAAGGGCATGCTCATGTCAGTCGTGTAGAGACTCTAAATCCCATGTTGCTGAAGTATGTTCATCTGGGCTCATATGTCTTGTGTAGGTGTGCCATGGTTACTTTAAGTCTGTTTTGACACGTCTTCATCATTTTGTGACAGAAGAGTTAAAATCGTTCTCTAGCTGGTAAATCTTGAACTTTGTCCTGCATCACTTATTTTAGATTTATGGTTAAAGAAAAGCAGAATCAAATCGAAGGTCAAATCCTCATTATTTGACATCCTTTCAACGCTACATGCACTTCTGACGGTAGTGGTTTCATTCGCGATGGGTAACAGAAGCTTTATGCTGCAAGTGCTGAGAAGCTGACAGCTGTTAGGAACCTGAGATTTTCTTGTACCAAGTAAAGAAAGATTTTTCCGATGGGTGTCGGTGCCATACTGACACGTTTGTGATTGTGGACCATTTGTGACTTCTTTTTTATGAAGTTGATGGTATGGCGCTGCAATTAGTTTTTATGCCATCAGTCAGGAGAGCCTTATTTTAAACAGAGCCTACTGCGGAAAGAACAACTCGCTATTTTCCTGTTTCCTTCTACAGAATGGTATTAATTATCTACCTCAGAAGGACAAAAGACGTGATTAAACCGACGTTCTGCAGATTGAGTAACTCCTGACTGTACGAAAAGCTCTGCTCTGTTTCTACTTTCATTTCGGCAGATTCATCATCTCTGCAGATTCTTCATTTCTGTGTTATAACATGTTTTTCGGAATGAGTAGTAATGTGGTAAGTAGTTCTTCACGCTGCACGTGGTGTTTCATCTTTTTTGGACAACGATTTATTCATTGGTGTATGTAAGTCGCAGTATAAAGACAACGCTCACGAGTATTGCGTCAAATGTGAAAGACGTTTTTGGCTACTTTGATGAGTACGGACTGTCAGTATATATTCATACACCTGTATATGCTGTGCTTTGTTGTCAGTATGGAGCTAGATTCCTTGTACATGCAGTCCTTGTACGGTGAAAAATCACCTAATTTGGGTTATTATTTTCCTCAGGTATGAAAGACTGATCTGTTCTAAGTTCTTTGTCAGCTCGGAAACGACGTTTTTCGCATCGACATTGTTTATGTTCTTGTGCTCTGGCGGTCGAATCTAAGGAGATGGTTATATCAGTCGCGTTTACGTCAGAATTATGACTCACAAGAAATTATGAGATATTCCGCTGATTTTCTTACTGGAACCTGGTACTTCAGAGAATTATTCAACTGAATGTTACCAGTTAAAACGTAATTTTATGAAAAGTTAATCTCTTTGATACATAATTTGTCAAACAGCTCATCCTGACAATCAACTCTAACATCGACTGCTAGTAGTTCAATTGTTTATGGCTATATGAATGTGGTTTTCGAAACAAAAATACGTGGTAAATTTTGTTATCGATGAACCTTTCCGTTTTCCTATGAAAAATTGCCAGACAAAATAAAGGGTGTTGTGTGACATCCATCTTTGAAGAATATCTAGGCGATGTAGTAACTGGATAGTTCAAGAATTCGTTGCTGTGAGCAGCTGTCCCAAATTCAAGCACTTGCGACTGTTGATTAATGTATTACTTTTCTAGAATAAGTGATATTTTAATATTTTTGAGACATATTGCCTCTTTTAGATTCGTTGAAGACATGAAACATCGCGATAAGGAGGCCACACGTAATAATAGAAAAGGTTATATGTCGAAGACAGTTCAATTGAAGAAGTGCAACAGTTAAAATATCTCGGCACTTATATGTCAAACAGTAATAAATGTGATAGGGATTGCAGTCAGTCAACAATCAGAATTACCCTTGCTTTTAACAGATTGACGCTCCTCGCAAAAACCTGGGTTGGGAAGGTAATCATTCATCACCAAGATTGAGTTTGATCGATGTTGCATTCTACATTCAATCTACATTCAGATTGGTTACTTTGTTAAAACTAGAAGCGGCATTACTATCATAAGTAGTATCAGTAGTATCCAGTGAGCAGCTTCCAATAACCTGCGTTACGACCCATGCTGGAGGTTAGATTGAAATCAGTTCCTGATACTTTTCAGAAATGAGGTGTTCTCGCGATAGCGCCGGTCGGTCTGCGCAGCCTTCGTCAGACAGAGCCTGACATTATTGAACAGTTTATTGGTGTTCAGCCGAATTTCACTGGCTCGTCAGCCTGTTAAATTGAGAGCTCTCCCGAGGACGAAAGGTTCGGTGGCTAATAGAT